CTTCGGTCAGACGGGCTCAGACCTGCCCCTTCGTCCTCCTTTTGCTGAGTTTGCCTGGCACGGCTGGTCCTGCACCACCCTCTGCTCTGGAAGAACTGTCTCTGAGAGCAAGCTACGGACATGCGCCTCATAATGAACTTAATAGTTGACTCATGTTTATGGACTACCCTCCTTTTCAGTAGGAACAGGTTAACCAGGCAAGACTTGTTCTCTGTGTGTTGCTTTAGAAGGGGCCGGTGGGACGGGACGGGGGAGCCCCGCTCAGCCCTTCCTCCGGCACCGCAGCCGGGGGGGGAGTTCTGCAAAACAGGGGTGAGCTCCCCGGGGAAGGGGGAAACCTTCCTGAGCTGCTGCGAGCCAGGGTTTCCTCCGGCTTTCCCACCTCACAAATGTGCTTTGGATCAAAATTCAGTAATACCCGTAAAATGACATGAGATCAGCAGACGCGGGTGCTTTGAGAGAGGTGTTTTACTGCTTCAGCGTTGCGGTCAGTCAGTCAACACTATCGTTCTGATATAATTTTAAAAAAAAGGGGGAGGGAGGGAGGAAATGTTTCACATATGCATTACTTCAGATTTCATTGAGATAGCTGCATCCCTGTTACCAGAAATAAATTTGCCTAAGCCTTCATCTCCCCGCAGGAGGCTGTTATCACATGGCACCATTCTATTTTTCTGGCCTTATCTCTTAATTAACTAATCTCTAATAATGCTCTTTGGTTTGAGGTTTTTTTTGTTTTGTTTTAATAAGCATTTGTGATCCGTCCCCATTTTACATTGATTATGGTAAGAACAATGTTTGTTGGTTTTTTTTTACAAAACAAGCAAGTCGGGTGGATAAGTCACTGTTTTGCTTTTTCTCTTTGTATCAGCCTTGAAGACCCTCCCTAACCACTCATTAGGAAGCGCGTGGTGCCTGCAAGCCCGATATAGCATTCCCATGCTCTCTGCTAAGCTGCACACATGCATTTGGCTGGTATTATAAAATGCCCAAGCTCATGTAATGCATGGAGGCTAATCTTATCAATTGTATTAAGGCTACTTAGGGATTAATAGCTTTAAGGGAGCTGTTTATATTTCCTCCTTTAAAGCATTTTAGTGGGTGTTCTGTGTCCCTTCAAATAAATGTCACCAGTAAAAATAGTGCACTTTTTGTCATTTCTTTTAAAAAATAAATGGTATTCTTAAAAGTTGGCACTTCAAGGCCTTGGGCTGGCTCTCAGATCTGGGTACTTAGATTTAAGCCGGTAATCCGTATGGAGGTACCTAAAAAGAAGTGGCCTGGTTTGGATGAATTAAGCTCACATCCTTCTGAAGTTTATTAGTTTGAAAATCAGGGCACGGCTCTGGGACTTGTTGGATTGCTGCAGGCAGCTTTGACTACGTGAGCTTTACTACTTAAATTTAAAATAACAGCAATGCTTTCTTTTGAATGTCTGTTGCAAGTTAGATTCAAACGGGGAAAAGAGGTTATACACACAGTTCAGCTGATCGCCAAAGATCCTGAGGATGCGGGTGGTTTCCCTTGTTGAGCACTTCTAGAACTAAGGCCCGTGAAGATGTTGTAATTCCTACGTACTATGAGAGGTTACTACTAAAATTGTCCAGCACGTTCTGTTTCTCGTAAAAGGAAAAGCGATTTAGGGGTCTGTTTGCACATCCCGAGCTTAGCTGGGCCCATGAGAAGAGGCAGGGTTGCTTTCTCTCAGAGCATTATATAGACAGGGGAAAATCTATCCCGTTCCAAGCTATAGATAACGCATAAAATGGGTCCAAAAAATGAATTCAGAAGCAAAAAGTCAGCAGTAATGCAAATTAAAGAAACCTGTATTAAATTTTATATATTTAAACATTTTCTTTAAAGAGGTCTTTACTTGCAATATAATTTTTAATACCTAGATTTACACTTGCAGGCAGCAGAGATATCTTTATCTAGAACAGCATTTGCGATGTCACAAGAAAGTATATTTAGGATTGGACAAATTATATATTACACTTAATATTTTACAAAGCAGTCATATTACAATCTTGTAGTAATCATAAGATGTTACAAAGATCTTCGTTAACCAGGAGGCTTTATTTTAGACAGCATTAGCATATACACTATTTGTTCTTATTTGTACGAAACCCCGATTCCAGTGCTATTCTTCATAAACCTGGCTCAGGTTGTCTCTACTTGTCTGATACCCGTGAGACCCTTGCTCTGGGAACTGGCTTCTCCAAAGTGGCGTTGAAAGGATAATTTGACAATTTGTTATGTCACTCTAGCAAGAGACTGAAAAAAAAAAAAAAGTAGACACCACAAATAAGTGGAGAGTCCTGTCTAAAGCAATGGCCTAAGACGGATTTCTAGGGCAGCAGTAAATCTAGATCTCTTTGAAAAATCAGAAGTCTAGTCATGTAACGGGTATAGATCACAGCACACTGAAGCCTCACAAGGAAAAACTGCAATTAATCCTTGTAATGCAGCTCCTATCCACATGTGTCTCCTCTGAAAAGCTCTTCTCTGATAAAAGTGGCCGCATCATGGGCCATCCACAGTCCTGTTCTTCTCTAACGGAGCAGCTGAGAGGAGCAGCCCGCCATAGCGAGGTCTTACGGAGAAGGAAGGAGTTGGTCTGGTTGGTGCAGGTCTGCCACGCAGAGTCCCTCAGCAAAGCGAACGGGTGACAGGCTGCGGTGAACAGCAAGTCGGCCTTTACAGTAGTTGCCCTTGTTCTAGTCAGTCTTACACACGAAAGAACAGAGTTAACATTTTAAGTCGTCATTGTAACCAAAGTTAAAAGCTTTGGGCCAGCTTTGAAAAAGTGAAAGCAAGCCACAGGTACCTGTCAAAATCAAACCTTGCGTGCAGGTGGCCTGAAACAGACTGGTCATCGAGATGTAGACTACAGCCTGATGTACAACCACATCCCTACCTGTCCTGCCGTGGACTGGTCCCTCCATCCTAGAAGGAGCTCAAACGAAAGCCGGAGGAGCCGAGTGCTGCTGGGGCAAGTGCACCAGTGACTAAGAACGAAAACTAAGGGGCTGTGCAATGATTAGGCAGCTGCAATCATGGCTTCGTTTGAAGACCGGCCCCCAGCCAGGAGGAAGGGACCCGCAGAGAAGCAGAGGTTTTGCATTCGCCCAGCCAGGGTAAAAATAAGTGTGGTGCCTGGCTCGTAGCCGAGGGACTGAGATGTCTGCGGCTGTTTGTGCCGGGGGTTGGGGTTTGCTCTCTTGGCTTGCTTTCCCTTCAGCCGAACTGAACTGGCAGCTGCAGATAAACTCGGGACGATGCTCCATTCCCTTACGAGAGGCCACACACCACAGCAAGCTCTTGCCATTTCTTACTCCGCCTTTGTCTGTGAGACAGGGTCCTCCAGATAGGACTGTGTGTTTGGAGAGACGCAGCATCTGTAAAATGTGCCTTCACTTTGACTTAAAAGGTATCATGAAGGGTACCCTACCGCTGATCAAGGAAAAGAACACTTGCAGAATTTGCATACTGGGGACTGATTTAAAGCTACTTTCCCCTGGCCTCGGAGTTTGAGGCTTGACATACTTGCGGATGAATGGTATCCATGTGCTAGGACCCTGGAAAACATTTAAAGTGTTAGTTCTAAGTAGCCTTTTTTGTTTTGTTTTTGGGGTTGTTTGGTTTTTTTTTTTCTTCTTGTTTCAAAAATAGTTGGGCTGGAATATTCGGGAGCAAGCTATGAGATTACTCACTTTTTAAAATGTCCAGAATAACCGTAACTGGCACATGCTCATGGCATTGATCCCACCCACTACAAGAGGACTCTTCTCAGCTTCTGCTTGTTTAAATACAAGGTGAAGCATAAGTCTACAACACACTTATTCAAGTTATACAGGCCAAAAAGGACCCTGAGAAACAAAACCCATAAATCTTACCTTAATGTTGTTTTCATGATACTGGTGCTGTTTCATTAAAATACAATTTTTGCTTAGTAGATAAATCCTCAGCATGAGTTTGCATTTTGTTCTATGTACATCTTAAGAATACAGCAGAAAATACCGTTGCTTAGCACATCAACAATAATCACATGATATGTGAGGTTTGTCAAAATACCTGTATACTAAGTTATATACAATTCTGGAAATCCTTCTTCCTCTGCCTTCTAACATGTTACTCCCCAGAAAACCAATCTGTTTGTCTTTAAAAATTGAAGTACATAAAGTATGCTGATAAAACAACTTGAGCAAAAAATACTAACTTTTCAATTTCCGCTTTTAATTTCAAAATAAGACGGAATGGATCACCGTGTGATGCCAGCAATTTTTAAATTTTTTTTTTTTTTTTAAACTAACCGTCCCTGATAAGGGAACAGGTGAATATTGCAAGTCCTAGTGGGATCATTTCCCCCAGAAGTTATGAATATGGTGTACTCACGTTGCGGATAATTGTGTTATCCCAAGGTGCACTATGTTGTATACTCCCATATACAAAAAAAAAAAGCATACGTAGAAATGTGTGTTCTGATGGTTGATACATAGCTTTTAAAATGTAGATATTCACAGATCTCAGTTTTTTTTATTACTTTCTGATAAAAAGTCCACATCAATTAGAAGCTCAACTGACCGTTGTGATGGCTGGAGTCTTCCCACCTTCCTCTCCTTCGGCCCCTTCGGCGTCTGCTTCCACCTGGTTGAACTTACCAATCTTTTTCAAACTCTGCAGTGCAGACTTCAAAGTGCCCTTCAGGCTGTTCTCCAGGATCCAGCCTTCACTTTCACATTGAGGGTCTTCCGGATTTGCGATGCTTTCCAGAGAGGTGTGCAGAAGACGCAAGCCAACCATCACGGACATCTGCGCCATGCAATGGAAAAGAGAACATCAGGCAAACCTCTACACCCTCGTCCTCTGCTATCAGCAGCCTGGGCTGGTGGCGTGATCAGCATGCCAAGAGCACCAAGCAGATAGAGCTTAAGGGCTGTGGGAATCCTCCAAATGAGAGGAGATCCTGAGCAGCCTTCCCCTGTGGATGGCCAACGCGGATGAGGAGGTGCTGGCAGGAAGAAAATGTCCCTTCCAAAGTAGGAGAGGAGAAAGGTGGAGGTCTGAAATCAGTGAGTGCCATGGGAAGCGTTGATAAGCAATGAGTGGATGCATCAACTTAGGAAGTACGTACGTGCCGGAGTGGCCATGTGCACAAGAGGGCTTTCCACGTACCCCGTCACAGGGTAGGCGCCTCCTGAGAGATTTTTTTTTAAACTTCTCCTCCTGTGCACTAGATGTCAATAAAGCTGTTTGTATGTGCAACAACATGCCCTGCTACCATCCACTTAATTTTAACTCAAAAAATTTTTGCTTCACATTGACCTTAATATGTTTGGCAAGTGTATTAATCTGATCAAGGAGATATTAATGAATCGGCATCTGTGCAGAACAGAGCAGCATTGGAATTTGAGGCATCAGCTTGCCTACTTGAAATTCTGTTTTTGTTTTTATATAGGTATGTGCAAATAAAGAAACCAAGGCAGGAGGTGATCTCTCTCTCTCTCACTGGTTCCACCTAAAACAAATTTCTATTTCTGATAAAATATTTACTAGTCCCAGCAGCCCTGACTGAGACTCTTTCTACTGTACTATGCTGGTGTAAAACCCCTGACACTGGCAACACCCCAGGGGAGAACGTTTTTAGCCAGTTTTCTGCCTTCTGACACCAGTCAGAACAATCTGACTTCCATCATTGTGGTGCTTATGAAGAAAAGTGATCGATCTGTGAAGTGGGGAAAGAAAGAAAAGGCAGCACCCAGAAGAGCCAGCTTGATGAGGGGGTAGAGCAGGTGGTCAGGATGGGGCAGCAGTAAAACTAGTTTAGTCCTTCGTGTGCTAGGTAAAGGTAAGATCAAGACCACTTATTGTTGTTAATGACCTCATAGGATTTGTTCTGGAAGGGAAGGACAATGCCTCTGTTATCCTAACCAAATTCCCAAGGAGGTGATGACCTGTGGTCTTCCTAGACCCTAATGATTAATGGGGTCGGCATACCTGTGTGCTGCTTACCTGGTGGCTGAGGCCCACGGAGAGCTGCCCTGGACCTGCAAGGTACTGCTCTCCATTGAGGCTTTAGAACTAGAGGTGGGGGAAGCTTGCAAACTGTCACGCAGGATTACAGCATCGGGTTAGCTGGGCAGGTTTGAAGTTGAGATTCAGCCACACAGCATGGCCAATGGCAAAATTCACAGCTGGCTTTTGGGCTCATGGGACTTCTCAAGCATGTGCTTCTATGGACCATTCATTAGCCTATCTACCCTGGTCATCCTGCTTTTGCATGATCAGTGTCTCCAAACTCTTGGGAAACTAAAGGGAAACCATTGGTTACCCTTGAAATTTTCAGATGTTCATGTTTCTCTGCCTTCACTCAAGACCAGAAAGGGAAAAACATTGGCCAAACAAACAAGCTTCATGAAATACTTTCATATCCAAAGGCAAATTTTTATCCTGTTCAACATAGAAACACGTGACTCGCAACGCCTTGGTTCTCAAAGAAAGTTCTCATGGCCCTGAATTTGGGAATAGTCTCATTTTGTTGTGGATCTACCCAATACTATGATGACTTAAATCAGTTGAAACACTGTTCTATAAAGGTCACAAGAAGCAACAAACCACATCACATTAGCCTTGGGATTTAAAGTGTTTGACATCTTCCTTTCAATCTGAGCCCCAGTTTTGCTGCTCTCAGTCACGGGACTCGTGTCTTTCCTATTAATGGCTGTTGCAAGTAAAAATTAATAGGACTGGACACAAAAGATGGCCTCCGCACTGCTCTCTACTTGTACTACCTCACTGAATGTTAGCAGGAGCTTTTTTTTGTGACTGACTTACTAAGTCCCACTATTTGACGGCAAAATGACCCGTACTTAACGGGCTTCCTGGATGGCTCCAAGTTGCTACATATGGTCACGCTTTAAAAAGAAGGTGCTTCTGCAGAAGGGAGCAGCTGACCTGCCCTCAGATGAGATTCTGTGACATTTTCTCTCAGTTTAAGACTTCATTTTCTTAAAAATCTTGCTCAGGAAGATTTTGCGTCCCTGGGATTGAGATTTGCTAAAAGCAGTGCAAAATGTTGAGGCTCTCATCATCTCCACTGACCTGAACCTTCCTTCTCTGCTGGATGAGAAGAGTCCAAGAAGTTGAAGACAACTAGCTATCTGGCAAATTATCTCCTATGTGATAGCATAGAGCCTTTGACTATCATTTTTGCTGAAGTAATTTATGTGGTAAATTATTTATCCAGGACCTTTAATTGGGCAGCTTTTCAATAGCCCCATCTCTCCATTTGCAAGTCCTGGCCAGAACACTTAGAGCTACATGCCATGCACAGATCGTATTATCAGCAAAATTATGGAAGACAGCTGGACGTGTCTACTGCCTCAAAAAGGTATGTTAATGCCTTCAGCACACGTCAGCTTTGTAGAGATACTTTGAGGGACCTAGACAGGCTGGAGAAATAAACTGACAGGAGCCTCATGATGAAGTTCAACGAGGAGAAGTGCAAAGTCCTGCACCAGGGAGGGAACAATCCCATGCACCAGTATAGGCTGGGGGGTGACCAGCTGAAAGCAGCTCAGCAGTAAAGGGCCTGGGGGTCTTGGTGGACACAAAGTTGAACCTGAGCCAGCAATGTGCCCTTGCGGCAAAGGCGGCTAATGGTATCCTGGGCTGCATTAGACAAAGCATTGCCAACAGGCTGAGGGAGGTCATCCTTCCCCTCTACTCAGCACTGGTGAGGCCACAGTTGGAGTGCTGTGTCCAGTTCTGGGCTACCTAGTCTCCCCAGAGACATGGACGTACTGGAGACAGTCCAACGAAGGGCCACTGAGACAATGACGGGACTGGAGCACGTCTCCTACGGCACAAGGCTGAGAGAAGTGGGACTGTTCAGCCTGGAGAAGAGAAGGCTCAGGGGTGATCTCATCAGTGTGTACGAATACCTGAAGGGAGAGTGTGAAGAAGATGGAGCCAGGCTCTTTTCAGTTGTGCCCAGTGACAGGACAAGAGGCTGTGGGCACAAACATAGGAGCTTCTGTTTGAACATCAGGAAACACTTTTTCACTGTGAGGGTGACCGAGCACTGGCACAGGTCGCCCAGAGAAGTGGTGGAGTCTCCTTCTTTGGAGGTATTCAAAAGCCATCTGGACATGGTCCTTTGCAACCAGCTCCATGTGATCCTGCTTGAGCAGGGGGAGTTGGACTAGATGACCTCCAGAGTCCCTTCCAACCTCAACCAGTCTGTGGCCCTCAGTTGCAGACCTGTGCTTAATCACAATCCAGCAGAGAAGGCCTGGGCATCATCCCAGTCTTTCTGAGTGGTGGTTTCCCCTGGCCAATGGACAAACCGTCATGAAAACTTGTCATTTTACAGCAACTTTAAAGTGGCAGGAAGAACAAGGCCACAGTGTTTCCCCAGGGCTGGGTATGGCCATCCCCGCACCACAGCATGCCCAGCCTCTCCATCTTGCACTGGCAGCGCAAACTGTGTCCTTCAGGAGGGTCCCTGCTCCCCTACTGCCTGTGGGCTGGTTTTGAGGGTTACTGGGAGCTCACTCCTAGCGTTGAACGCATCGGAGGGTTTACTCTCCGGCGCACGATGTGCAGTGCACATCCCGCTCACGGCTCACAGCTCTCCTGGGTTCCCACCCGCTGGCGCTCAGCGCTGGGCTCCCTCTGCGGCACCACATGTGAGATGAATCTCAGGGTCTCGGCCATCGCAGTAGCTGTGACCTATTGAGAGCCACGTGTTTATACAGGTGAGGGACCTGGAGCTCCTCAGGAACCGGCTGCTGTCCTCCCTTCCTTTTGAAATGTCCCATTCAGGGCACCCTTGAACCCTCCATTTCCTCTTTGCTGGCTGAGGCGAAGGCGGCAGCCAGGCTTCCTAGGCTTGCTCTTCTTGACCTTCTGCAGAGAAGCCCATCTGTTTGCCAGGGTTTAGCCTGAGGCGGCTTAGCTAGAGCAGGGTGTGATCTTTTTTTGTCACCCTCATGACCGGTTGTCACTCCCGGGAAGCCTACAGCTTTTCCTAGTAAAAGCAGCATGCGGATAATAATATATTTCCAGCAATATGACACGCTGCATTTTTTTTCCAATAGAAGTTTTAATACTTCAAAATAGGTTCGTTCTTCCTTACACCTCATATAGAAGCATCAGATCTAAAGGGCCTTCCCTGAGGTCCCTGCGCCCATTTGGCACGTTAGGTTTTCCTACAGCTCAAAGTAAGGGCCGCACTTGGCGCTTCCCTCCGCACTGCGTCCCGCATCCCACACCTGAAGACGGCCAGCCCAGGAAGGGCTCCCCGCAGGCCCCCGGCAGGGCTTTGCTGGGGAGGTGCTGCGGCCGTGCCGCTTTGGCTTGACTTCCCAGCGGGGCCGGCTGCAACGCAAACCGGGCCGCTCCTTTGCTGTGGCACGTTTCCGTAACTATGGCCGCAAGTTGCGCCAGGGGAGGTTTAGATTGGATATTAGGAAAAATTTCTTCACTGAGAGGGTGGTCAGGCATTGGAGGAGTCGCCATCTCTGGAAGTGTTCAAGAAACGTGTGGATGTGGCGCTTCAGGACATGGTTTAGGGGACATGGTGGTGCTGGATTAATGGTTGGACTTGATGATCTTGAAGGTCCTTTCCAATCCTAGTGATTCTGTGATTCTGTGATTCTTGGCAAGCCGGCCCGAGAGAAAAACGAGAAGCGCGGAGCCAGCACCCGAAAGGCGCCACTGGGTCGCACCCCGGCCAGACGGACATCTTGCCTTGGCTGGGAGTCAGGACCGCTGCTGCGCTCCTACTCAGTACAAAATTGTTCCCTACCCTGACTGGGATGTAAGGAAAGTGGTTATATTTCAAGGGGGACTACGGTAACGTCTGCTTCTTGCTTTGCTTCCTCCCTTCACAGTTTGCCTTAAAAGCGGAGGGAGTTTGAGACCCAAATCTGAGCCGTTTATGGTAGAGCATCAGGCAAGTCCTAAGTATCCAGGAGGGCAAATTAATATAACCCAGGACTGCGATATTTCTATAAAGCTTTGCCCTGAGAGACCTCTGATTACCTGGGAAAAAAAAATAAATCTCACCTTTTATTTTAAAAAAGACAAAGGAAAAAAGAGATGATAGTATTTCTCATTACGCCACAGGTTGAAAAGAGTAGCCAGGTGTACTTTGAAGAAATAAAATACTGTATTTTTATCGCTGCTATTAATGTTAATGTGTCACTGTCACGAATCTCCTAGAAGTCCGCAGAGGCATGTTACGGGTTCCTAGTCACGATTTTTTGCAGCTGACTTTAGTATTTCTGGGCAATTTTCTCCTGAGTTTTTGAATCTCCTTCTGATTGTCATATACAGACGGAATTCCCCTCTCTTCAAGAACTTTTCATTTGAAATTAGGCTGAGACACGAGCTTCTCTTTCTTTTCTTACCAGAATAACAGTGCTATGAGGAGGGGTTATTTTTAAAATAGCACAACATGAAGTAACTTTATGATAGCTTTTCATCCCTCTCAAGTTCACAGATTATTTAGGTAGGTGTTTATTTTCTAAAAAGCCCGTTCATTCCCAGAAGGGTGTAGCCCAGTGCCTGTATCAAAATATAATGCACCTTCTTTTAATTTCTGTCTATCCAAATTTTTTTAAAAGCCGGCCGAATCATTTGAAAACGGCGATGCCATTTGCAGCGAGCCATTTCAAGGGTTAGAAGAGGGTCTGCTGCACCTTCCCCGCCCGCCCTCCGGTCCTGCCCTACCGCCAGCACCTCAGGCGCCGGCCCTCGTGCCGCGGCCAGCCCACCCTCCTGGAGATTTAGTCGTGATCAGGCACCCCGGCG